GACTATTCCATGCAGTTTTTTATTGTTGGATTTTGACATTAATGACGAAACTTTGTCTATGTAGGCGGGCATGCGGCCCGAGCTGGAGACGCAGACGGCCACGCTCAGGGAGCTCATGGCGGAGCAGCCTGCCGCGGCAGCGCTGCTGAACTCCACGGTAGAGGTGGGCGAGAAGCTGTACCCGAGCACCTCGACAGAGGGCCGCGAGGCGGTGCGCGCGCAGCTGGAGGAGCTGCAGGCGCTCGCGGAGCAGCTGTTCGACAGCATCAGCGGGGCGGAGCGCGGCCTCCAGGACCGCATCTCACGCTGGAGTGGGGTGGAGGAGTCGAGCGACTCGCTGCGCCGCTGGCTGTCCGAGGCCGAGGCGCTGCTCGCGGGGGAGATGCGCCTGCACGCCACCCTGGACGAGAAGCGCGCGCAGCTGCAGACGTACCGCGGCGTGCTCACGGACGCGCAGCAGCACCACCAGCAGCTGGCGCACCTGCGGGACCGCGCCGACGCGCTGCGTGAGCACGGCGACCAGCGCGCCATCGACCTGCAACTTAACGCCCTGGCCACTCAGCACGCCAACATTCTGCAACGAGCTCAGGTAACGAATGAGTGTCAGGCGTTGTCATGAAAAGATTTTAATTCACACAAATTTTCGAGCAGTTTTCGTGAAAGTTTGAGAGAGTTATTAGATTTCCAGTAAAAATTTCACATTTGATTGCAGAGCTACGTGGAGCGGTACGAGGCCATCGTGTCAAACCACCAGCAGTACAGCAAGGCGGTCATGGAGACCCAGGAGTGGCTGGAGGCGACGCACCACACGGTGCTGCTGTGGGGCGACACGGACCTGGAGCGCATCTCGCTGCTGACCAACGTGGAGCGGCTGCGTGGCCTGCTCAACGGCATGCCCGAGGAGGAGCACCGCATCGAGCAGATCCGCGCGCTCGCCGAGAAGGTGATCCCCGGCACGGTCGAGTCGGGCCAGGTGAACGTGCGCGCGCAGGTGGACTCGTCGCAGCAGGAGTGGGAGGGGCTGCTGTCCACGCTGCGCTCCACCATCGAGGCCCTGGAGCTGCGCGTGCAGCAGTGGAACGAGTACGAGGTGCTGCGCGAGCAGTGCCTGGCCTGGCTGCGCGACACGGACGCCACGCTGCACGCCGTCGACCTCAAGGCCACCTGCCAGGAGAAGAAGGACCAGCTCGACGTGCTCAAGAAGCTGCAGGGGGCCGTGCGCGCCAAGGAGCTCGAGATGGACAGCGCGGTGGAGCGCGCGCAGCAGCTCATCAAGGGCGCCATGACGAACCGCAGCTCGCAGATCTCCGAGCTGGGCATGAAGTACCAGCAGGTGTCGCACAAGGTCAAGGACCTGACGAGCCGCTGGCACCAGTATGTCACCAGCCACCAGGACTTCGAGGGTCGTATTGCCGAATGCTCTCAGTGGCTCGACGACGTACGCAACAAGTTGGGATACTGCTCGGATCTGAGCGCGTCGTCTCAAAAGGATCTGGACAGCAAGATGGAGACGATCCAGGACCTGCTGCTTTACAAAGAGGAAGGCTTCAGCAAAGTGCAGACGCTGGTGGAGCTGGCCCAGACGGTGCTCGCCAACACAGCGCCCGCTGGCCATCAGGCCATCAACGACGAGCTCGCCCGTCTGCAGGAGGAGTGGAGCGCGCTGGCCTCCAAGATGGTGGAGACCAAGACCAACTTGGACGACTCCATACAGCGCTGGTCCGGCTTCCTCGAGCAGATCCACAACCTCAACAAGACCGTCGAGTACCTGCAGAGCGTCACCGACGAGGTGTCAGAGTTCCAGGCCACCATGTCGGAGAAGCGCGCCCAGCTGGAGCGCATCAAGTGTCTGGAGGAGAAGGT